CAGCCAGCTGATGTTCGGGTTTCTGACACGTGCATGCACGCCGGCCAGCTGGTCTTCTTGCGTGCCGGAGTACTGTAAACCCGAAGACCAGCTGGCCAATGTGCATGCGCATGCCAGCCAGCTGATGTTCGGGTTTCTGACACGTGCATGCACGCCGGCCAGCTGGTCTTCTCGCGTGCCGGAGTACTGTAAACCCGAAGACCAGCTGGCCGGCACATATGCTTGGTTTTTTTGGCCATTTCTCAGGCCATTTTGGGGGGGTGTTTTCAGGCCATTTTCTGGCATTCTGGCACCGGCAAAGACCAGCTAGCTGGTGCACATGTACATGCCAGAAATCAGAAGAGCACTCTAGCGACAGCGTGCGTGCCCACAGAAAGGGCCCTGTGTGCCACCTCTGGCACATGCGCCATAGGTTTGCCATTGCAGTCCTAGTCAGTAGAAAACAGACAAAATACTTGCTGACTGTCTTGCCTCTTTTTTCCATCCCTGGCAATCATCTGCTTTCCTGGAAAATGAGAGTTGATAAAGCTTGACGGACATTATATCCCTAAGTAGGGAGGAAATGCAACCTTAGCACCACTGTATCTAAGGATGGCTTAAGAATATGTCATGGGGGCTGGGAATAAAATTCTGGCAACATCAAAGAGACAGAACGTATTTGTGTAAGAGGAGAAAAGTCCCAAACTCCTTTCCTTATTTGTTTTCCTGCTTCCAAGGTCTTACGGCTATTGGCTGTCGTATGTTTCGGCTTATTGAAATAGATGCTTTCTAAGGCTACTTAATATATTGAGCTTTAAAGGTATGTTTGCACTGTGCATTTAAGCCAACTTCAATCTATTCTCACTTTTGATCTAAAAACACCTGGAAAATGAAATATGACAGAGCAGCAGAGGAAGAAATTATCTGAAATTATCGGCAGGCTTCTGTTCCCTGCATTATTTGTCTTTGTGTGATTGGTTTGCTTGCTTGCTTATTGCTCTGAAGGAATGACATTGAGTTTACATGAGTTTCGTTCCACTTTAAATGTGTTGTCTGTGTTACTGAATGGGGGGGAGGGCAGTTAACCGTGAAGCCAGCAAGGCACCGTATGAATCTAGACATTTGCCGCACCAACTCAGGGATCTTCTCTGGCACTTCCATGTTTCTTATATGGGCAAAGGTTTGGCTTGAAGTATTTGGAGTTCTACCATAAAGGTCTTTCATAATTAATCTTACATCGTTCCTTTTGAAGGGGAAAAGAAGATGGTGTATACATGGTGTATGAAGATTCTATCTCCTGGCACTGCTTTTTTCTTCTTAATGATCTCTTGGACCACTGAGACACATTTCAAAATTTTCCTAGAAAAGTCATAAATTGCTTATCCAATCAATCTTCTTACTGACAGCAGGAAAGGTCCAGGAAGTTGTTTTAACCAAGTCAGGTCTGTCTCTTGGGGTGCAGAGTGATTAAAAAGAACAATTCAGTTGGTGGGTTATGATTGCCTACCTCTGTTTTACAGATATAAAAAGGGGCAGGGAGTTGAACATGAATGTGTAACCACCATCTTCCTTTTTCTTTTTTTACTCATCCCCTCTTTCCGAGGCCCCTGGAGCAAAAGGCAGAAGAGCTGTGAATTATGCATAAGTATGAGGGCATTTAATAATAAAATATTTTGGTAGATGAAATTTCCTAATCCCTCTACCTATTTGTTAATAACAGTTGTGTATGATAAGATCTACATCTCTCATGCAGCAGGAAATTAAAATCATGGGCATGTTCTTTTCAAGACATAGAAGCACTGCTTCTTTAAAAGGTGATGCCACCTGTTGAATAAGCTTGTATTTCTGTTCCTGATATCTTTCTTTTGGTAACCTTGTTTATCTTCCAGCTGTTTTAAACCATCTTGTCTGGAGAGGGGATGACTTCTGTTCCCAAAGGGCCCATTTCTGTTCAAAATCAAAACTGGAGAATCTTTTCTGCAGTTCTCCTTGTATCTAAAGTTCTCAGCATCTTCTCTAAAAACAAGAAAACCTACAGTCCCTGATGAAATCCCAAAATATGATACTTAAACCTGTGTCCAATATGGGCAAAACGTGATACATTTGTTTATGTTACCCTACGCCTATATTCCAAGAAATAATGTCTCTTTGTACATAGGCTGAATAGGGATGGATAAACTTGTCGTTTCTGATTTCATTTGGTTTCTTTTTCTTTTTCTTTTTGCTGTAAAATCATGTTTATTTCATCCCATTTCATCCTGAAGAATATTTTTAGTTAAAATTCCATAAGAACATTTTTGTACACTTTCTCCCAATATGCATGTTTTTGCACATATTTTCTTAAATTGCTGGACTGCATCGAAACTTTGGGGAATGTGCAAATATTGACATTTTTTGACATTATGGTTTTTGTGTCCGGGTGGGAAAAGTATATGCATATTATGTTGTAAATTGATCAGATTTTTCTTCCATTCTTGTTTGAATGCTATTGTCCATGTGATCTTTGCAAGATTAAATGACCCCTGTTTTCACAATTCAAGTTTTTTTCCCCCAAAAAAACATTTTGGCTAAAAATGTCAATATTTGCA